AAGTCCGGAATGGCACAAGATTTTGAAATGTAAGTGCACTAACATTGTTATACAAGGACGTAACAGATGCCAATTCACTGAGTAAACTAGTAAGCACAGCCTATCCCTGCTGTCATTACTACTGCCTCATTTAAAGGGCAGTTTTGGCCAGAATGACACATACTCTGAGTCACACGATGGGGAAGAGGTTGTGACGCTGCTCAGGAATCTACCTTGCTTTGGCTCCCTGTCAGCACGGCTGGAGGACTGATACTTGTCACGGCACGATGTCCGCGTGTGGCAAGACGGATCCAGTTTAGCCCCCTGCATCCCTCAGGACCCGCACTCAACCCAGCTAGGCACGTGCAAGCCAGTTAAAAAACACACCTGCACACAGCCTCGCTATATGTTCCGTATGGGCGGCTGACAACATGTGCGTAGGCCTTTATGCCTGCACATTTTCTTGCAGCGCCTGAAACTAGACTGATAATGATAAACACCTCTTCAAACTGATACTCAGTTTCATTCTCTGTTATCCAAACATTTCATCAAAGGCCACTTACCTACAAAGCAGACATCTCAAATCAAGCCAGACACGCCACATACCAAAGCCTTTTGAAAACAAGGAAGCAAAACTACATTTATCTGTTAATAGTGCAGGGGTGACAGCCATTATTTTATATCTGCAATATTTTGCAAATTCTAAAAGACTTAAATCTCATCAGGTGATTACGCCATTAATTAGTGAAACGCTGTCATCCCTGGGGTGCAACACAGCAGCTGTTTCAGCTGAGCAGCAAAGAAAAGCCAAGAGGGCAAGGCAGCACAGTTGTGGTGTCCCCAGGAGAAGGTCTCCTGCTCTGAGTGTCCCAGCGCTGCCACCCCACGCTAGGGAACTGCTCTGGTCCCAGCTAGGGAGGACCACAGCTCTACCCGCCACCGCAGCCACCCCCTCTCCCAGAGGGTAGGAACCCCTCTTCCACCTGGGTGCATCAACATGGGCTCTATGGGAGGGCTGTTGCAGCCTGAGCCCTGCATTCCCCAGGACGTGGGTTTTCCCGGGAAGCTGTTCATACATGGATTATCAACCCAGAAGGGATCTCTCTGGTCATTCCTCCCTCTGCCCTCCTGCAAAACGGAGATCACAGAGACTAGCTCAATGATCTCCCCTTCAAACCGCAGCATAAAAAAGAAAAGGAAAAAATAAAATCCCATGAAGATACCCCGTGATGCAGCGGCTATCGCAGCTTTTTGATCGGTTGCTCTGTGAACAGGGCTTCATTTCTAGTCTAAGCGTGTCTGGCTAAAACTGCCAGCTGCAAAGCCCTGCTCCTGCACCGCGAGCTGGGCAGAGCAGCCCTCCCTCGGCAGCTTTGGTTCCTCACGCAGGCAGCTCCAGACCATGGACCTCCACGTACATCAGGCCCAGGCCGACTCAGCTAGTGATAAATGACAAAACGAAAGACTACGGTGACCGGGGGGCAGGCTGGGACCGCTGTCCCAAGCGAGGGGGAACGCTTGGAGGGCCACCGGCCAGGTCCTCCCTGCGCAGGCTAAGGATGCTGCGTGAGAAACGCTTTGCACCACAGTGGGTTTTGCACCACAGGCTGAAGGTGGGTGGGAGGAAGGAGGCCGATCCTCTTCACAGCGCTCCCCCCCTTTTAGATGACAACTCTGACCACAGTACTGACAAAAACTCTGACACGGCTGGCGCAGCAGCGCGAGAAGCGGCCGACGAAATGGGGACGGGGCAGGAGAGCCCCTGCGCGGCCCACAGGGAGCGGGGGGAGTGATGCGAGTGCGACAGCGCCAGAGCCGCGCTGCCATCGGGGACGGGGGAGACGACGGCGTGGTGGTGTGGGCCTTGCGGGCCAGAGGACCCTACCTCTGGTTCCCAGTCTGCTCTGGGGTCTTTCCCCTTCAGTAAAGGACTCGGGACCGGGAGCTTTAAGCTCTCACAGCGGCTGTGACGTCCTTTGTCATTTCGGCGCAGAGCCAGCGGCAGGGCCTAGGGTGCACCTTTCCCCCCCCACCCCGCCAGGCTCTGGCTGGTACTCACCCCCTTGCGATCCTTCTGGAAAGCGCCGGCTTAGCCTGACAGAAACGGCCCTGGCGGGACAGAAACGCTGCTGACAGTGGGACACCCAGCCAGGGCCCCCGAGCTCTGCCAGCAGCGCAATACCAAGTCTGCCCGCCATTCCTCTCACAAGAAACTGGGCTGAGGGAGATGGTTCATCTTCAGAGCACGTTACATGGCAGCAACTGCCAATGGCTCACGCTTAGTCTGCGAGCAGCCATGGGGCTGTCTTAGCTTATGCTGGGCTATACGGTTTCGGGTCAAGAAAGAGCATGGAGTTTGTTTAAAGACACTTCTGTCTCCCACCTCTGGGAGAAGAAAACAGGCCTATCATTTAAAGGAAGAGGAAAGGCCTTATACTGCTCTGAGAATGAGCAGGATCCCACACAACTTTCCTCACTTGAAAGGATTTGGCTATCACATTCTTGAGACTAGTGTTAAACAAATAACAAAAAAAAGGAGGGAAAAGAAAAAGCAAGTTGTTAATAAAATATGGGGATGACCTGGGAATTTGCTCCCAAAAGCCCATGATAAAAAACCTCCAGCTGAGAGCCGATCTCTACATTATATTCCCCAGTGCTCTGCCTCGTCTTTTCTTAAATGCATGGGGCACAGGGCTTCTGTCACTTCTTTGGCACGCCTGCTTAGAGTCTGAGAGGTTTTACTCCAAGGAAGCTCTTCCTTCACATTCAGCTTAAATGTGCCATTTCTTGAAGTCATCCCCTTGTCTTTTATACTCTAGCAAGCAAAACAAGTCTAAATTAAATGGAAGACACATGAAATCTTTATAAAGCCCTGTGTTTCCCCTAGCATGAAAGTTCCATCTCTTTGGAGTGGAATAGGTGTTTACTCTGTGCTGTATTTTTCCCCATCAGAAAATGAAGAATAATATAAATTTTCCTCATGACTTGAATTTAGCTTCATCAGCAGCCCCCTGCTGATGTAATTCAACCCAATGAGATTTTTCTTTTTCTTTTTGTCTTTTTTTTTTCTTCCTGGTGAGCTGCTGCCCCTTTTCCCCTCCTCCCATCAGTTCAGGCATGGAAAACAAGGGAGGAATTAGACAAACAGAACACACTATCTAACAAGCTGCAACTTTAGACTGGGCAGGAATAACATTTAAAATATAAAAAGCAAATTTTATCAAGCCTTTTCCTCCCCAGAGACTGCCACAAAAATATTCCTTGTTTGTCGCTGAGAATAAACCATTTTTCTCTTTCATTTTTGCTTTCTGTCACATATTTCATTTTGGCTGCCCCTTCTGTCTTTCAGCTAGGGACCTAGGCTGCTAATGCAGAATCACAGATAGCTCAACAACAAAATGCCTGTATTATCTTTTTTTTTTTCCTTCTAGTCTGCCAGGTAATTGCAACCCTAAAAGCTTTTGCATATTTACCACAGAAACATGTCTATCCTGGAGGATGGGACTGTCATCAGGTAGAATATTTCATTTAATAAGCCTCTTCTGAGGTATAAACTAGGGTTGGGGATTTTTTTCTGGCCTCCTTCAGAGCAAAGGACAAGCAGATAAAAATCAGCTGCTGCAGTGCTACACTGTCAAAGTTCCTGTTCCTGTGGAAATTAACTCTTCCCAAGCTCAGAGCTCAGGTGGGTTTTGCCACTGTGATGTTTATGAAGTAGGAAAAGGGTCTCTTACCAACTCATGTCGGTTTTTTGTCCCCAATCCTCCCCATGTATAAGACAGATTTCTTCCCTATTTACAAACAGAGCAACTACCCTGCTTTTCTGTAACCCATCTGATGAGCTGTGGATGCTGCCAGGACTGATTTTCATTAAATCAGTCATCAAGCAGGATCACATTTTCCCTCTTTGCCCCTGTTTCACAGAATTACAACAACAAAAACATGGCCTGAACATTTGTAAATTCAGCTGTCCACTAAAAACAAATTCCCCCCCCCCCCCCCCCCCCCATTTTCCCCCACCCCTGTGGTAGCAGTAGAATTGCTTTTCTTGATCCTTGGGATGTTGAATCAAGCTGATTGGTACCAAAGAGAGGGTCTGAGGAGAACATCTACAGAGAGGCTTTGTGTCTTGGAGTCAAGACAGAGGGAGAGGATGACCTTCCAGGGGTTATGAAAAGAGGCTGCTTTGCTGAAACTGTTCAACAGGCTGAAGAGGGATATAGCTGGTTCACACATTTCACTTCAGGCATGCCTACACAGAGGTCAGAACTCCATCCTAGCACATAACATACCTGTAGTTAAAAGCACTCCGAGTGGGAATCAACTGTCCATGACAGGTCCTCAGTCCAACACCAAATTACTGACAATACTTATTCATCCCTGCCAATAGCTTCCCACATGGAGAAAGGTGTTTCCAGCCTGGCCAGGCTGTCTGCTTGCCTGGAGCAGAGCTGACAGGACCCAGCCAGAATCCTTGCATTGACTCTAGCAAACTCTACAGCCTGTGTGAAAACTACTCCTTGACAAAGCATCTTCTGCATCCATATAGTTTTCCTGTGGGCCAACCTTATTCTTGTAAAGACCCTGGTTTCACATCCAAGTAAAGACTGGAAGACATATCTGAAATATGGATGATTGCTTAGGTTAAGGTCTTTCTGAAACAAAGAACCTACTTGTATTGAGTTGGAAAGGAAAGGTGGACCTCCAGATACCTCCCATCTTCTGGAAACAGTCCCAGAGAGAACAAAGTACTGACAGACATGAAAAAAGCTTTCTAAATTCTAACTGGCAAACTCTAATTTTACAACATTTTATGGTTATTTACAAATTTACAATGTTTTTTTTATGCAAGTAAACTCCAGGAGATTAGGATACCATTTTTTTCTATCACCAACAAGCCATTCTAAGAGCCATCCCAGTTTAGGGTTAAGGCATGACTCTCATTCATTTACAGGAACGTAGGAAAATTTCCATAGGTAAAATACTTCTTTTAGTAACTTTACACGAGCCCAGTATCTTACCTGTAATATCTGGATTGAAGGTAGGTAGAACACACAGCTTTAGACACATGGCTAGCTGAACCAAAGTCTATGACCTTGACCCTATATGGCTGTCGGGATGGGTCTACCAACATGATGTTCTCTGGTTTGAGATCAGCATGAATCAGTCCCAGGCTTTTCAGCTTCATTAGGGCAGTTGCTACCTGCTGGAGAATTGGTCGAATGTACTTAAGGGGCAAGGGACTGAATTTGTTTTGTTTTAGGAAATCATAGAGGTTCTGCTCCAACATTTCAAAGACCAAGCACGTGTGATTCTTGTGCTGGAAGCACTCATACGCGCGGACAAAGTTGTAGTCATCCGCACTTTCTGTGCTCAGACGAGCCAGGATGCTCACTTCAATCTGGCCTTGCCGGGCATAGGAAGGATGGTTCTTTAGGATCTTGATGGCCACAATCTCATTAGTGCCACGTTTCCAGCATTTGACTACTTGTCCGAAGGTTCCACGGCCAAGAAACTCTAACACTTCGTACGTGTTGGTCATGGAACAGAGCACCTCATGTTGCACCAGCTGGTAATCCCCTTCGCTGTTGGAGCCACTGTTTTTGGAGGTGGCCGTGGAGGTGGTGGCGGTGGCTACAGTGGCCCCACTGGCATTGTTCTGAATCATTGGTGGATGCTCTTCGATGATCTGCACGCTGCTTGTGTTCTCGATCTCCTCACTCTTGCGCTTAAGTCCACATTTTTGGTAGGTGTCCAGAAGGCTCACAGTGCTGCGACGCATCAGGTTGTGTGGCCCGCCCAGTGTTTGCCCAGACACTGCAACCACACCAGAAGTGCTGTTGGCGGATGTCACCACGATGTGCCCCGTGCTTGCTGGGAAGATGATGGTCTGTTCGTAAGGGATGCTCGGATTGGGGATCTGTAGGGAGGCGTTGACGGCTGCTGCGGCGGCTGCTTGGGAGGACTGCACGTTCTTGCTCTGGCTGTAGACTTTGCTGTGTGTGCCGTACCCAGTCATATCCCAGTTCGAACTCGGCTCCACTTTCAGTTTCTTCACGCTACAGAAGGCACTTGACTGAAGGGTGTGAGGAGAGAAAACTTGCACATGCGAGGCCATACCTGCAATACAACATCAGAGTGAAACCACAGTGTCAAGATGCCTTCCCCAGCTTTTTTCATTTGTTCAGTGGCAGGAAGGGAAAATGGGATACAGACTTCAGATACAGCACAAGCACACACACAAAAAATCAAGTTCTTCCAGAAATATGTATTAAACACAAATAAACTATTACGTTCTAAAATAAATCATTACCCCTGATGGAACTACACCAACAACAACCAAGATTCCTGCTCTCTTGCTTTCCCCCTTCTCATTTTTAACAACAGGAATGTAAATGTTATTTTTACCTCCACTGCCTAAAGAGACTCCTATTCCCATTGTCTCCAGGAATATATCTAGCTCTCAGGAAGAACTCATGTCAAATACTGCAAAGTATTCTGCCGATGGAAGCCAAATCTCAAAACCTCAGGCTCATCCTATATTAAACAGTTTGGTGGATCTGACTTAAGCCCTCCGTTTATTCCCATAAAACCACTGTGTAGCTTCTGGCCTGCAGGGAGCCAGGATGGGACCAGGAGATGATACACCGTGACAAAATGGAGGTGCACGGACAAAGTTGAGGAGCCAGGACAGAAGCAGCAGATGATGTTTCAGGTTGCTTGCCAAGTCTGTGTGTGGGAATTGTGCACAATGCTGGTCTGTGCTCAGGGACACTGGAGATGGGAGTTACACAACATGAGCTTCACTGCGTGCTCTCAGTTCTCTCAGATTTATAAAATTGTGTTCATCTATTCTTATTCACAGTGACAATACCATCACTGGAAAGCAGATCCCCTGGAAATGAACGGCATTGTTAATGAAGCAACGTACAGATTAGCATGTGGCAGAACTAGGTCCTAATATAACTTTACTTTTTAAGAAAAGACAAAAACCTATTTTACTGCAAGCTTCTTTGCTTCTAGAAGAGTTAATGATCTTTTACACCTTTATTAAAAAAACCCCACCAAAGAAACAAACAAAGAAACCCACAACCTCATAACCAAAGTGAAAATAAAAGTATCGCTGAGACAGACTTACTGAAGGATTCTGAGTAATATTCCACTGAAACAGAAAATGCTCCTATTCAGAAAAAAAGACGTGGTCCACAAGGCACAGGACATCTAAGTCCTGACTTACTGCCAGCTTTCCCTGCCCAGGGTAGGGGTGGTACTGCTGGGGCAAAAGTATTGTGAACAGCACAAATCTATGGGGATTCCTGGGGAAGGAGTCAGCGCCCGGTAGGAGTTAAAGCAGAAAGGCACAGCCTCCTTCACCCTTCTATCTGTCGTCAGTGTTTCTTTTTAATAAACCAGAATGACTGAAGAAGAAAAAGACAATATGCTGAGCTGGCATCGTTGCTGAATTATTAAGCACAAACATAACCTTGACTTGTTTTCAACTTTAAAAAGTTAAAAGCTGAATGTATGCTTCAGTGACAAAACCACAACAAACTCTGCAGTGCACATGGATGACTTCTTCATGTGACACCTGAGAGTGTCTAACACTTGGCTCCCTTTCCTAAAAGAAACCCATTCTCTACTAGTCCATGTTGCTCTTCAGAAGATTTTCAGGAGCTCATATGTACATATACATACTCACACACATGCACGCATAAACATATACACCAATACAGAAAAACAGGAATGTTACTCCATACTTCAATGCTCAGTAGCATGGTCAAGCAAACACACCTAAATGCACCCAACACCCATTTTCCAGTTAATTCCCAAGAGCCCAAAGCTCAGGAACTGCTCAGAAGGGCGCTGTGGCGAGCCAAAACCCACCGTACATAGCTACACACAAGTAACCGGCAAAGCAATCACTCCACTTTGCTTCAACACCCCCACCTTCATCTCTGCCCCAGTGACAAATTTATGAAAACAGGGCAGACGCAGAAGAAAACCCCTATCAGGACACGTGGGGAAACCCTCACCTCTGCTGGAACACGCAACACAAAACCCCACTAACCCTGCTCTAGCAACGAAGCCCTGCAAACCGCAGTGTGCCCTCCTGTGCAGACGTGACTCTTGGCTTTAATGTGATTTCTCATGCTGTTTGCTGCCATTCATATTAACTCCCCCACACCAACCCCCTTGGTGGCAATTTCCAAGGTCCCTGCAACTGGGTCCTCAGACCACCCTCCCAGCTCCCTGCCCCTCTAAGTGCTTTCTCTCCTCTCTCCTTTCCACAGGGCAATAATGATGCCACGAATGCCTTAGCATGTGGCACTCGGTGAGCTCAGAGAACCGCAGCAGTATTACTCAACTTGTCATCCCAGACACAAATATCATATGTGAGTGAGCCGAAACTGTGTTTGTTTTTCCACTGATTAAGAAGAGTCACGGTGTTCCTTCTAGTACAGTACCGACCTGCCTGGAGAGTGGGGTTGGTTTGATGTATGTTTTCCCCCTGGACGCGAATAATAAAGCAGATGTAATTGGTAACATATTGTGGACCTAGCAGAGGTGTAATTTATAGCTTTATGGCTTTCATTCCATGGTGTGCTTGAGCAATATCTCTTCATACAAAATAAAAAGGGAAAAAACCGATGCAGAACAAGGAGAGAGGTTCTTCTCACATGGTCCTCTAAAGATAACACCAGAAGACCCAGGCACCCCAAATTAAAGTCAGGGATGTGAAGCGCAGCAGCTGCAACTTCCTCAGCACCGCTGTAAAAATCAGGATAATCGCCCCCATTAAGAGACAGACTTTCAACTGGAGCAAACTGGCAGGGCTCCAGTTGATATCAGCTGATGCTAAAAACAAGGTCAGCAGTCACTCAACATTGTCAACGTCAGATAGCTGCCTGTGCCCCTTGGTGAAATGAGTTGTTGTTAGGGATTGGTTTCTACATCAACAACAGCCCCTTGCTGTCCCTGCAACACTGCTGGCAGCCTCAGCAGGGGGACAGGAAAGGGGACGAACACCGACCCACCCCGGTACCCCAAAAACGGAGGGGGTGGAGGAAGCAGGGCTGTCTTGTGGCTAAAGAGAGGACTTTGGACTCCTCCGCTGCCACTTCCACCCTCCTCAGAGGTTATATCTCATTGCAGGAAAAATATTCTTTTTCCCCTAAAAAAAGAAGTATGAAATCTTCTTCCTTCCATCCAAAATGATTTTCTCACATTTGAGGTTTTAGGGGCACACGTTGTAAGGAGAATAACTCGGCCAGCTCTTCAGCATAGTTCAATACCAAGAAATTACAGGCTGATTGACAGTTTGGTGATGGGAAAAGAAGGCTTCTGCAGCAAGTCATTTTTATTGCAAATTTGCCCGTGCAGCTAATGTGAGAAAAACACAACCCTAAATTTCCTGAGGACACTATCAAATTGTGCTGGTGGCATGTTCTTTTTTTTAAAAAGGATCTTTACTCCATGGCAATAGCAGAAATAGTAATAAAAGTGAATAAAAGTTGGATGGTTTGTTACAGGGATCAAATTCCTCATTACAGCCTGTAATATGATTTACAACTTCAGCCTTTTGATTACGTAGGCTGACAATAGCTTGCCACAACGTCCGTGAAGAAACAAGCCAGCAGTAACGGGGCGATCCATGCCAGCCAAGCCCTGTGACAGCGATGCCCCCTGAGCATCCCCCAGAGCCAGTGGGATGCTCCCAAGGAGCATCCTCACTCCTTGGCTCTTGGAGAGATGGAGGGGCCATAAGCCACAGAGGGACGAAAACCAGGCTGTTTCACTTGGGAAAAGTCCTCTTAAACCCCCGCTCACAGGTCTGCCAAGAAACCTGCGCGAGGCTGGACCTCTCGTCGTGCCTCTCTTCGTGGCGGGGAGATCCTAGCAGACACCTCGCTGCATTTTGCGCAGGATGGCCCAAGGCTGGCCCCCGGCTCCTTGCCTTTTTGCTCTCCGCCAGGAGCGGAGGGGATGAGGATGCTCAGGTCGAGCAGCTGTGCCCACTGAGCATTCCCACTCACCTGAAGCCCAGCTCAGCAGCCCCATCTGCACTAGCAAAAGCTTCATCTGGACTAAGGCAAGCGGCAACATGGGCTGAATCTGCCTGGGCTCAGGCTTGGTCCCGGCCTTGGCAGGGGTGCAGGGCAGCCTCCCACAGCCCCAGTTAGCCGGTCAGGCTGCAGCCACGACTTTGCAACAGCTAAATACAAGCCCTGAAGAGTGCAGGTCTAATTTTTATATGACCCCTGTGCACGGCCAGTCTCTGGGCTGGGAGCAGAATCAAGGTTGGGCACCATGCATTAAATAAAATTGATAGCTCCTTTCTTTAATAATGAGTTTTAGCATAGCCATTTAAAGCTCTCACAGAATTGGTAGTAACTGGATTTAATGGGGCCTCCCCTGTCCTTGATACGACTCGTGTAACTCCCCATAGCATCCACATGAGCTGAAATATGTAGTGTGCAGCCAGGGGACAATGTTAAAAATCAGTTAAAAGAGCCTGAATGACTTTTATTAAAAGACTTGACTCTTTTTTTTTTCCTGAGAACTCCTCCCACGTCAGCTTTCACTTAATAATAATTTAGCAGGTGCTATTTACAATTCAGATGGCCTTCTTCTGCATGCATACACAAATCACGCAGCCGCCTCACTTGTATTTCCAACAGGTTTCAAGAAAGCAAATGAGGTAAAGTTCCCTATCCACCCACCTCACCCCAAAGGGCAAAAAATACACTTTGGGGACTACAGAAGGAACAGTTTGAAAGTCACTGATGTTTTCTTCTGCTTTTCTCCTAGCACTTACTGCTGATTTATAAATGTGGCCTTTGTGGTGCAGAGAGACCAAGCTCCTACCCTGTATTAAGTAGGCAGTAAGACCTTTTGCAGTACCTGCAGAGCTGCCAGTGCTCTGTAACCAGAGGCTGCTTGCTGATTGCCGCCAGAACGACAGTGCCTGCTTGAAAAATACTGTAGAAAGCACATGGCATGTGTTCAGCATATAAATGATGCACACAAGACGCTCCTGAAATAAATATCTTCCACTTCTCCCCGGAGAGGCACAAGCCTGCAAACTCATATACACGCCCGGGTTAAGAAGGCAATGAA